ACTTCGTTGCATAGTACCAAAAGAGATGTCATGCATTACACGACAAATTTATCGTCATACCCGAGTTGGACGCATGCTCTATATAGAAGTTTTCTCACAGCTCGAAAAAAATGAATAAACGCACTGATGCTCGCGCTCTTTCTATTTCTCTCTCAAGCAAGAAAAAGTAGGGAGCAGGAAGTTTTTCTCCTGACTCCTCTACGCGATATAGGGAAAGAGCATTGGCATTCGTCCCTATACACTGACGCTGAAACTCGAATTTTCAAGTGAAGTAGTAAGAAAAACATTTTAATTTTCATATAAATCAAAAGTATAGTCTTTTATTATAAAAATAACTTTGAATAAAGTTTGGGTAAAAGTAATAAGGCAATGTGTTACATGGAATATTTATTTAAGACGTGATTTTTTTAATTCCTGGTTCCGATTGGACAATTATTTTGAAAAAAAATGAGCGATAAAAGCGCTGTAGCCAAGATTGAGATCAGTAGCACGGTCGTGGATTGATAAGAGTATTCTTTAGGGATTAATTAGGTTAAGGGTACAGTGGTTTGCTGTCATAAATAGCTTATTGTGTAAGGTATATTAAAAAAAAAAAAAAAAATATCATTAAACACGCTGAGGCCAGGTTAAGATAGATTAGCTTGCTTGTGATTTAATAGGGATAGTTTTCTGGGTTTTTAAGTAAGGGGTAAAAGATTAGAGGTAGCTTGGTTATCTTTTATATTGCACTGTAGAGGTTTAGTAGAGGTGGATGTTACAGGTGATACACCTTTAAAAAATGATTTCTTCATAAATCTTGAAATAAGTCAGTTTTAATTTCTGATTTTTGCATTATAAATGCAGTTTTAAACTCACTAGATCTTATTAAACAGATTTTAAATCGCAAAATAGCAATAAAATAGAACTTTGACCCCTATAGAAAAAAAGATTGCAAGCCCTTAGTGTTTAAGTTGTATTAGTAAAATCACCTACTTATAAGAAATATTTTGGCGTTGATTTTATTTAAAAATATACATTAGGTCCAGAGGTATATTCAAAAAACCATGTATGGGGGTTGTTTTGACGGGTGGATTTCACTCATTAAAAGTAAATGTCAGAAGATAAAAAAACACGTGTCAAATATTTTTTAAGTATTACAAGATATTCAAAAAAAATTTTAATCGGTGGGGTCGGGTTAAGGTAGTTTCCTTATTAGTACTAGCTATTGCAAATAGATTGTAAAAGAACTGTGTGCCATTCAGGATATCCCGCTAACTTATGTTTTAATTTTTCTATTTTGTATACTCTCTACACGTGATAAAATAATCATCAGAAATTTTTTGTGTTGTATTGTCTAATCGAATATTAGGACAGATTAATAACGTAAGTCTTTCTTTTTAAAAATTACTTTCTCTTGACATTCTCATTAAATATTATATTACATGAGATTATTATTTATGGAACGCATTTTCTTTCTCAATTACTTCTAACCATGCCTTAATTTTTATTTTTAATGTGATTTCGTAGTTCTTACTTCCATGGTGGGCTTTCTAAAGTTTCACGAATTTAACACTTGAACATTACTCATGTTTTAAGAGTTTTTTGAGCATCGCTCCTTGTCTCCAATCAAACAGTTTTTTAAGTTATCTACTGCAGTAGTGTTATTATCTGCTGTTACTTTGAAACCAATCACAGTATATTGTGCTCTAGATTTGAGATCTCTGATTATAGACTATGTTTAAGTTTTTTTTTTCTCTTCTTAAATTTCAGTGCCTATATTAAATTTTTTGAGTGACTTAAGGACGTTCATTACAGTCAGCGGGAAAACGTAGAGAGTGCAGTGAGGGGAAGCCAGCATATGGCAGCGACGGCAACTTTTTTGCATGCATTTGTATACCTATATACAGGCGTCTGACACTGTTTTTTTATTCAATTGATGCCTCTGAAAATTGAGTATAATACCAGTATTATCTTACTAATATATAAAGCAGAAGCGCTAAAACCGTTGTAATCGCTAACCGCGAAAACTACTGAACTGATTTTGTTGAAATTTTGCACACTGATTCATGATACTTCCTAGATGGTTTTAGTATAGTTTTCATCTTAAGAAATTTAATAACAATAGCAATAAATGAGCTCAAACTTTTGCAAAAATACGTCAGCTTTTCACTTTAGTTCAGTAAAATCCGCTAGGTGGCGTCGACATAAAATCAAAGCTACCTGCAACATAATTAAATAAGTGTGGTTATAATAGGCTGGAGCGTCTCCGTACTGTTGTAGTCGAGCTTCGGCATGTCAACGAGCTGTATAGAGAATGCTGATGATAGTCTTGCAGCTGGGTATCCCGGTTACGGACTACACTCTTCTCTAAGGGGGAAGAGACCTAGGTGTCCATTCACCCTGATTCTCGACGAGTGCAATCAAATAAAAAAAATTAATTCCAACCGATGCCGTCTCTGCCTCAATACCCGGAGACATATCTAGCCAGAGCACAATCTGCAAGATCTCTTCATAGCAGTCCCACCATCCCACCTGGTGCAGTTAGAGAATTTGTGGCTACAAATGTAAGCAAGGGACAACAGCTCTGAGGGGCACGGGCAGCCACAACGGCTACCTTCTTGGTCGTCGCGTCCCCAACGCGCTTACCCACATGTTCCCGTCTAACGATGAGCGGTTGGTTATCCGGGGAACGACCCGAGACGAGATATTCTTTGGTCAGCAGCGTACCTTCCTCCATCACAGTCTCCGTACATCGAGACTCCCAGGGTAAGAATCAAGCAACCGTAGCCAGCTCTTCATCATCAGGAATAAGAATAGCCTGGAAGTTTCACCACTGGCGCTTTTTAGGGCCATTATAAGTATTTGCGTTCCCTACTTAACCATCAATTTCATCGGTTCTTTTTAGGATCCACCTAAGTGTAAACTACCTTGCCAACAAATACATTTTTATTACCATTTCCGGAAGCGATTCGTCGACTAAAAGACTATATTAACTAAAGACGGGCACTATTAAACCAAGTCAGCCATTCACTAGCAGACGTCACCTGCGGAGTTGTTCTTCGCAAGGCTGGAAAACCCGGTGACCGACGACCCTATACTACCCTCTCGACTCTAAGCATTCAACCAGGAATCACTGATCCTCTCCAAGGTCTGCGTTGGGCAAACCTATAACAGCTATGAAGGAAAAAAAACTTGAGCCAACGGGACAGCCTCCACTGGACAAGTATCACTAACCAATCTCCCCATCTAAGATCACCAAAACAACTGAATCTGCAAATAAAAAAGGTGCTTTAGACACCAACGTCTTCGACGTTATACCGGGAGACGTTGGGAAAGAGCACTACAACTAGCCCCAAAGCTTCGGACTTTGTAATTTTTCTCCCAATCAGTCTGGGTCTTCAACAGCAAGCCAGAGAAGATCACCCTGAGGTATCCAGGCAGTCACAATTGCTGTTAACTGCAGTCAAGAAAGAGTTAACTTAAGAAGCTCACCGGTCTTTTTTAGGGCCATCGGACGTCGAACTACCTTGCCAACAAATATATTAGAACTTAACAAAGTTGACAGAAAACAGCCTTTAGGGGTCACAAAAATTTTAAGCATGCCAAAAGTCGCAAGAGGGTGAATTGGAAGAAAAACTTCAAGTGTATCTAATAAATACAATTTTACTTAGGCGTCAAGAAACTGACGCAGAAAATTTATCGAGATTGAAACAGCAGCGTCAAAATCGACAACTAAAGAGTCCATTACGTGAGAGATCAGCTTTTCATTGTACCCTCACAGCAATCTCTGAAATCTTTAAAGATCCTACTTCAGATTTTTTAATGAGTAGAAAATGTATTTGTGTTTTTGTGGCAATAAAAATGTAGGGTTTAAGGTCCAGGACTTTGTTGCTCTGGTAATAAAGTTGTGAGATATGAGAAAAAAAATTTTTTTTTAATATAAATTTTTTGGGGGTTTAAAATCTTAACAGCTTTAAAAAATAGCCGTTTTCGTGAATTACACGGGAGAAACTGTAAATCAACGGCTTCTTATGGCCACCGATTATTTTATGGCATAAAGAACGCACGGTACTTTTCAGCATAATTATTTTTTTTAATTTTTACACCTTATTATTTGACCAAATAAACTATACGGATTCCGAAAAAGTATGTTTTCAATAAGAAGATTTTTGTTTTGAGATGTATCAGGAATATGTGTAAAATTTCTAACTTAAAATGTTTCACATTACATGTCAACACACTACGGTGTTTTATTTAGTAAGTCTCGGGCGAAGCCGAGACAGGGGGCTGCTAGTGGTATTATATATTGCATCATGCAAAAAAAAAAATTAGACGAATTCTACCAACCAATTTTTCATGAATTTAATTATTATGTGACTCACAAGGTTACGTGTTTAATTATAATTTTTTCAACATTGAATATCTAAAAAACTGTGTTGTGAAACGGTCTCAAATTTTACACGTGTCTTTCTAACATCATTAAGAATATACTGTTAGAATTTTGGAAGATTCTACTCAAAACGATCTGTGTAATGAACGTCCTTAAAACAAGAGCCTCTCTTCATGTTAAATCGAAACTTGAAAAAATTAATAATTTACGTTCTTATCGACGTTGAACAGAGGTTTTTCAATGCTATTTCAAAGAAATAAGCACCTGTTTAGAAAGAGCAAACAGTACTGCTTATTACATAGGCTTTGACATAATATGGTAGATCATTTTTCAATCACATTTTGGAAGGTATTTAAGCATTGTCACCCTACGTACTCATACATTTATAGTTTATTAATTTGGCTACTACAGATCTCTGTTAAAAAACTTTGGATGTACTAAATTTTAAATCTATGTAAGAATACATTTATGTTCGACTCGTTACGTCGTTTTGAAAGGGATATATTACAAAAATTTATGTTTATTACAAAAAGTTATATTTATTTACAATCAGTGCATAAAAACGTTAACTATATTTTTGTATACTCACAAACTTTCCTTACGTAATGATTGATGTCATGATTCATCGTAGGCAAATGACAGAATGGCTGAGCTAGAAAGAGAGTCACTTACAAAACTGGCAGAACTAGAAACAGAGCTCAGTAAAATAAAAATGAGTTTTGCAGAGGCGCTTGAATCTCGAGTACTTATAGAAGAAGAATTGACAACTCTCCAACGACAAAAGCAAGATTCGGCAAAGCGGCAAAATGTTTTGGAAAGTAAAATTATGGAGCTTCAAACTCTGACTGATTCACTGACAAAATACACCTCAGGTATAAAATATAGTTTTTTTCTTTAACGAATGATAAAAGTCGTTCTTAAGATACATGAAAACTTTTTTTTAATTAGAGATTTTCTCTATACTTCTCACCAACAAATCAAACATTTAACACAAATGTTGAATGCAATATGATTCGGTCTACTGAAATTTTTAACTGTGTCAGAATATAATTGATAAGTATAGATATTAAAACTTTTATCAGGATTATTATTAAATAATCTCTTTTTTAACAGATACTAAGTAATTGTAGGTATCGTTGCTATATTGCAGAGAGAGAGAGAGAGAGAGAGAGAGAGAGAGAGAGGCGTGAAAATAAAAACACAAATGTTCTATATTCCTGTAGCCAAAACACTAACAATTTACAGTCAAAATAAAAAAAAAATTTTAAATATTCTACCAACAACCAGTTGTAACTGATACTTTTAATAAGCGGCTGTAAACTCTACTATTGCTTATAACAGACCAGAAAAAAAGATGATCTGATCTCTCTTTTAAAAAAATGTTCGAAAGTTAGTTTGCCGCCTGTTTGGAAGCTTTTTGTATCAAGTATCAATAATAAATTGTGTTCGACAACTGAATTTATTTGGATGATTGTTCTTAAGCCCAATAACAGTATGAAAAAGTATTTTTCTGATCGCAGCATTTTTTCTGTTGGATTGATTAAAAATTACCTTTCATAAAAATTAAAGGTATTTAAAAGACCTACAAAATGTACCTTTTTCTTAAAAAAAGGTTGAGTTTTCCCTAAATTAAAAAAATAAAATAAAAAGGATGTCCTACGGCTCCCAGAATCCGAGATAACTTTTTTTGTTTTATTTTTGGTTTAAAGTTTATTTATGGACACCAATGAGTCTCTTTCAATTAACTATTTTTGGTACAACATAAGCGCGTATTTCTATGACGTATCACCTGTCTGCCTTATTTTTCTAGTTATCTTCTTGACTAACGCTGAAAACTTAATCGTTAAACAATTTGTAAGTAATATGATTCATTAACAAAAAAAGATCATTTTTTATATAAATAGTATTATTGTGTTAGAGGAGCAATTTCGTAGAAATGAAATAATCATAATACAATTAGAATCTTCGCAAAAAAAAACTCTATTTGGTCCGTCTGGTATAAATTAAAAAAATAATGGACCCTTATTTTATCCTTTTTTTTTACAAATAAAAATTAAAAAAGACATAGTATCGAAGAATTAGGGTATTTTAAAAACTACAAAAAACATTATATGAATGTGACATTGTAAACTATGCATTACTAATAAATGTTCCATAATATTGTACGAAAAAATGAGCCCAGAAGCATAAAAACGATTTAAAACTTTTGAAGATACAGAATTTTGAAGAAAGTATTGAACATACATACAACCTCAAATAAAGTTGAAACGGTAGCATAACATAACTCCACATATAAGTGTAATATTTCTACAGCTATGAAAAATATAAAATATTCAAAGGGCTATATCTTGTAAAGTTTTTAATTAAAAAAAAAATACGTGTCGATTATTTTTTTAAATTATACATGATAGACTAAAGGAATTTTTCGTGCAGAATGACAGTTTTTTTTTCTATAGGATATGGTATAACGAAAGAATAAGTTTTACAATAAATTACTGTCAAAAACACTTTTATTGAATAAGATTTTATGATTACGAGTTAGTTACTTGTGATGTTAAAAAACTAGGGTGATTGGACAAAAAATAATAAAGAAGGTAATACAGAATATTTAGCAGTGGTAGCGAAATCGAAGATGATGATGAGCGTCTGACAAAAAAAAGACGAATAAACTAACTTATAATCATAGAACTTATTACATAGAATTAATTCATGAGTGAATAGAAGTGTTGTTGACACATGTATATTGTAAAACTTATTATATTCTTACGGAATATAGGAAAAAAAAGATCAAATTGTGTTGTGATTATTTCATCTCTACAAAGTTACTACTTTAACGCAATAATTCTAATTTTTGTTTAAAAATCATATTATTTTCAAATTGTTTAACGATTAATTTTTGGGTGTTAGTAAAGAAGATAACTGGTGATTCAAGGCAGACGGGTGGTACATCATAGAACTATGCACTTATGTTGTATCGAAAATGGTTAATTAAAAGAGGCTTATTAGTGTCGGTGACTGACCTTTAAACTAAAAATAACGTGCACAGAAAGTAATATTTTTTAAGCTATCCAGGTGTAAAAAAAAGTCGTTCTACAACCCAGGGAAATCAAGATATCGATAATTTTTTGACCGCAAGCGGTTTTAAGCGCGTGATATTAGATTCCACGTCAGCCACGCGCAAACAGCTTCGAAAGAGGGGGTTCTCCAAACCTTGGTTGAGACAGTCAAGCTGAATTTAAAAAAAAAAAAATTATCTCGGCTTCTGGGGGCCAGAGGGCTTCCTTTTTTTTAAAAAAGAATTTAGGAAAAACTGAACCTTTTTTAAGGGAAAGAGTCTGGTAGAGATTACACTTAAAATTGAATTAACTCAGTAAGAGATGTTTCTTACAACTCTTTGCAAACAAAATGAGCTCCCGTTGGGCACTGTAAGATGCCGTCTAGCTGAAGAAATTAATTTTTACAGAACCACTTTTCTTATAAACAATTGCAATTGGGTGAAAATGGTTAAATCTACAACATCCAGGTTTAGACGTGTGGTAGTGCCATACAAGAGCTTTGATTTCTTTGCATTTTCAGACGTTTCAGATTGATTGTTTATTAGTTTTAAACAAATTCAAAAATCCACTATTGTAACAATTATTTGCATTTTGCAACTAAGCCAATTATCCGATTGTTAACCACCATAGCTCATTTTGTCGGTCTTTTAAATATCTACATTTTGTACCAAAGGTATTTTTTAATAAATCCAACAGGAAAATTCAACAATTAGAAAAATACTTTTCCATCCCGTTGTTCGGCTAAAAAACAATTATTAAAATAAATTTAGTTGTCCAAAACAATTCATCATTAATACTCAATACAAAAAGCTTTCTAAGCAAGCGGCAAACTAACTTCTGCACTTTTTGGGTCAGAATGCTTCTTTTCCTGGTCTAAAGAAACATTTCGTAAATTTAAAAATGTAAGACAATAAGAGTTGATAAGATATTATCAAATATTATAATTATTGCGCATAAAATTATACATTTATAACTCGTACACAGAATTTTAGATGTGTTATGTTGAAATATCAGAGCTTGTGGATGTGGAAGGAATAAATACCAGCGATCTTAAGGTAAATGACATTTATTTTTACTTATAGTGGGATCGAATTAAGTTTTCGGAATGAAAATTCATGCTAGCTCGAAAAAAATATGTTGGGTGGAATGAAACAACGCCAATTAATTGTCGTAAAATCGAACAAAAAACATTTTTTACCATGACTCAAAAAAAAAGAGTAGAAATGGTAAAACACGGTTTTTATCGTCGGAAGCCATTAAAAAAATATATCTATAAAAGTATTATTGGCAAGTAGATGAACAAAATAAGCTTTAATTGATCCCAATGCTCTAGCGGTTTTCCCGTATAAAGCAAGCAACCTCGTGTTTCGAGCCAATATTCAAAACTACACATTTCGTCGAAGTTTTCGAAAAAATACTGTAGAGAGAGAGAGAGAGAGAGAGAGAGAGAGAGAGAGAGAGAGAGAGAGGCGTGAAAATAAAAACACAAATGTTCATACAAAAAAATAATTAGTAGTTCACAAAGTATAAATAATAAAACACAAATACAAATACGCACGTATACATAAACACACAGATAAGGGGCATCATGGATATTGACTCTGCGTCCTTGGACGTGTAGCATGTAAACGATCGGCCCGACTGAGTAAACAATCTAAATAGTGGTAAGCAGTTTGAGCTGGGCTCTCTCCGTTAAATTTTTAAACTAACACCTCTCACGCGTCTGCTCCCTTGACGAATAGTGTGATCGAATTAGCTGAAATGTCGGTAATTTTTCGTGAAATTCAGACTAGCTTAAAAAAAAAATAAGTCGTAGAAAGTTAAACAATACCAATTGATTTTAATAAAATTGGACAAAAAATATTTTCTGCAAAGGCTTCTGAAAAAAGCTTCGTGGAGCTTAAAAAAAGTATATAATCCCGCAAAAAATTGCATGTAACTTTGTAAACAACTTTTTTAGGCCATTTTTCCGAGGTACTTTTTTTTGCATTTAGCTGCGGTTGGCAAAAACTATCCATCCGATCTTGCTGAAATTGAGTGTGGTTATTGAAGATTACTAAAGATATAATTCTGCCGAATTTCAGCCCTTAATGTTGATGCAAAAGAGAGTTATCAATTTTGGAATATTGGCTCATAAAACGAGGTTTTTTGTATTTTACGGGAAAACCAATAAACCAACTGGAACCAGCCAGAGCTTATTTTGTTCTTTTTTCTTGCCACTTATACTTTAATTTGTTTCTTTTTTACGGCTAATTGTTTGTTTGTGACGCTAAAAATCGTGTTTGACCATTTTTGCCATTTTTTTGAAGCCGTAGCGGAAAATATTTTTGTTCGATTTTGTTACAATTGATTGGCATCGTTAAACTCTCTACAACAAATTTTTTTCGGGCTAGTCTGAATTTCATAAAAAAGTACCGAAATTTCAGCTAATTCGATCACACTATTAGTCAAGGGAGCAGACTCGTGCGAGCTGTGAATTCAAAGATTTAACGAAGAGAACTCAGCTCAAACTGCTTACCACTTTTTAGGTTGTTTACTCAGCTGCCCCCATTGTTCACACGCTAAACGTCTAAGGCCGCGAAGTCAATATTCATGATGGATCTTATCTATGTGTTTGTGTGTGCGTGCGTACTTGTATTTGTGCTTTATTATTCATATTTTGTGAACTACTAATAGCTTTTTTTTGTTTAAACATTTGTGTTTTTATTTTAACCGCTCTCTCTCTACACTATTTTTTTGAAAACTCATACCAAATGTTGGCAGTCGATTACTTTTCTGTTAAATTTGTTTTTAGATATTTTATCTCGTATGGTCAC